AAGTTTTTATTAAAAAAATTAAACTTTTTAATAAAAACACAGGCAAATTTGCCTGTGTTACAATTTAAGGGATATGAATCCAACATTTTAATTATAATTGGAATTATTGTATCGGTTACGAGATTTTTTTGTGAATGGAAGGTTTGTTCCAATTTTAGTTGATTTTGAGATAGTATTTTTTCAATAATCCAAAAAACTTGATGCTAAATATAAAAAACATAGTATATTTAATATATATATACTTGTATATTAATAAGATGAAAATAAATAAAAAAATATCCTACTCTTAAAGCAGCTAGAAGGTTATCTGAAAGATCAGTAAGATCTAAATATTTAAACCTAACATTCGAAGAACTTGAACCTTCTTGTGGACTAGTTCAATCTTGAATTTAGGAATAATCTTAGTTCGATCATCTTAGTAATCTTTGACTTGATTGTTCTTGAGGTCTTGAATGATTTTGGCCTAATAAATCTTCCTCATTTATATATGAACTTATATTATCTGAATTTAATTTTTGGTTAAGAAATTCTTTAAATAGCTTTTGAATTTCTTTATCTTGTATGATTGAAGAAATTTAATCTAAAAAAAATGCATATCAATAATAATACATAGCGAATGAATTTATAAAATTAAACTTACTTTTTCCAACTTGTCTATCTAAGTATGATTCTTTAGAAATAGGTAACTAACTACTATGATTATGATGGTTATTATTTTTTGACCATCTACTTCTGCTATCATAACTTGATCATCTTCTTCTCTCATAACTTCTTGATCGACTATCTCTATCTCTTCGATCATAACTTCTTGGTTGACTATCTCTATCTCTTCGATCATGACTTCTTGATCGACTATCTCTACTCCTTCGATAATAACTTCTTGAATAGCTATCTTCATTGCTTCAATCATATCTTGACCAACTTTCTCTATTTTGGTCATAACTTCTTGATCGAGACCTCTTTCTATCACATCCAAAATAATATTTCTTAGAGTGATGCATAATTTAAGTAGCTATCTATATAAAAGTATACTAGTATGAATATTACTTCTTATTTATTTATCTATTTGATTCAGATCTAAGTTTTTTTTTTTACGAGAATTAATCCAAAAGAACATATTAAAAAATATACTTTTATATCATAAAGTATATTGCTGTATTAATAAACTTTTATTGACTACAATTTTATGTCATAATATAAGTATATAGACTCATGAAAAATTTTAACAATCATGATGATGAAATATGTCTAATAATATTTCTTGATTAAGGGGAACAAGTAGAGTGAAATGAAAGCTCTAAAGCTTAGCTTCTAGTATTCTACAGTCGAAAGTAACTATCCCACCGATTTTGAATTTCCTACCTGGCTTTTTTGAGCAAACTCATTAGCTACTATCACTCTAATTTTATATAAAGTTGATTAAAGTATCTATGCTATATGCATTGAGCCCGATCACTGCAATAACATATACATAAAGTAAATAAAGTAATCACGTGATGTAACAAGCAACTTAGAATAAGGCATGTGAATTAATAATCTAAGAAACCGGCTTTTACTAGTACAGCTTGTTCAAAATTTAACTATAAATAGCTAAAAACATACACCAACTAGCCCGGTATTACAATAACATGTATAGTATAGTTGGTTAAAGATGTATAGTATATAGTATACTACAATAAGTATAATACT